CATTTAAGAATGCATTTTTCTTTTTAATTGGGCTCTGTTTATGCTACACGTAGAGGACGACACAGGCATACACATACATACAGCAAGCTGACTGGATGGGTTTTGGATTGGTTAGCAGCAAAAGAACAGTCAAAGTTTTATCTACCAAAGACAAAGTCAGAGTAAACAAAAATGCACACTGAGAAATGTTGAGAAATGTTGAGACAGTGCTACCAATCGGAACGAACCGTAGGAGCTTATACTTACATGATAAGAATGAAAATAATTTAATCAGCAGAGCATTTTTGTGGTAAAATATGCATTGCAATTTGCATGGGCAGTAAAAGTAGAAAACAGAGGACCCCCACCCAAAAAAAGAAAATAAATTGAAGAAAAGAAAGAGGTGAAGCAAACATATCCCACAGCTACATGATATCCAACAGATAAGGCTTTGGCAAAGGTAAGGCCTAAATTAATCATTCACGTTTTCACATCCTTCACAAAATTAAAATCCCACACTATAATTTATTTTTCACATTTATATAAACACACTCCACTCACCAGTCCCACCCCCACTCTGCTCCAATTTCACACCTAACTAAGGCATGGCCACCACCACAGCCGCTGTCACTACCTACTTCTTCGGAGCCCGCCTCCCAAACCCCGAACCCAGTTTCGGGAGATTCCAAGCCCGATTCGGAAACTTCAGCGGCTTCCGCTTAGGCACCAAGAAGTCACCGCCACCTCCACCGCCAAAACAAAAGCAGAAATTTGACGACGGGGAACGACCCGTATGGTTCCCGGGTGCCGAACCGCCCGACTGGCTCGACGGGTCGCTGGTCGGGGACCGGGGGTTCGATCCTTTCGGGCTCGGGAAGCCAGCCGAGTACTTGCAGTTCGATTACGACGGGCTGGACCAGAACTTGGCGAAGAATTTGGCGGGTGATGTGATCGGGACCCGGATCGAGACGGCGGAGGTGAATCCGACGCCGTTTCAGCCGTACTCGGAGGTGTTTGGGCTGCAGAGGTTCCGGGAGTGCGAGCTGATTCATGGGAGGTGGGCGATGTTGGGTGCGCTTGGCGCTCTCGCTGTCGAGGGCCTCACTGGGGTTGCATGGCAGGACGCTGGCAAGGTAATATAATTATTCTTTAATTATTGATCAATTATTAAATGTGAATTACATTATATGTGTTTATGCTTAATTTTCTCAAGCACTTGTTTAAGTTTTAATTTTTTACGTTCCTCAAATTAAATTTTCATTAATCTGATGGTTGTTTAGTATTAGTAAGATCGGGCGCAGTGCAATGTGCTTGCTTAGCTTAGCTTAATACGTATATTGCACCTAAATCACATAGTATGTAAAATAAAGTTAAGAGTAGAATGAAAATGGTAGTAGGCCTTTTTGTATAAGATAATACCAATATCATGAATGAATACCATAAGAAAAATACTTGTAGCTTGAGAGTATTTACTCATATGTATTTTAGATTTGTGTCTAAATTCTCCTTTCATCGATACGATATGGGTGTATTAAAAAAAAAATGATAACGAAGTAAAGAACATAAGAGTATAAATAGAAAATCTACTTTTCTCTTTGTCGATTGAAAAAACCTTTAATTTTTTTTAAAAAAATCTAGTTTCATACACTCATCGGCTTACACAAAAATATTTTTAAAAATTTCTCTGTATTTTTTTAAAAATCATTATAGTATACAATCTTTGAGAATGGAGTGGATAGAGATAAAGATGTGTGTAGAAGTAGAAGTAATATATGCCTCACTATCCATGATCCATCCCCATTGAAGTTGTATATTTATTTAATTAAATTTGAAGGACACATAGGCCGTATCTTGTATTTTGTATGTATGTAAGGTAAGGAGGTACGTAAATATAAGCAGGCACAGGTTTTTGGTGATCGTGTCTTCTTATTATCCATGCGAAAAAACATGGTGGCCCTAACTCCTAAGGTAAGGTCCTTATTGACGATGAATTTGGTAATGATGAAAATGATTGCCAAGAGATCACGCCAAAATTCGTTTTTGTTCTCTACCTAACTTTAATTTATTTACTTACTTGCCCATTAGATCCAAAGATTACACAAATTAATATATCTACAAAGAGATAGATCCGAACTTGGGTGCAATGGAACAGGCTCACTGCCTCGACTAACTAGTTAAAAATATTATAATTTGATTATTGTTGTTTAAAAACAGGTTGAATTGATTGAAGGATCATCGTACCTTGGGCTTCCCCTTCCCTTTTCCTTAACCACTTTGATTTGGATTGAAGTATTGGTGATTGGGTACATTGAGTTCCAGAGGAATGCTGAGCTGGACCCAGAGAAAAGGCTGTACCCGGGTGGCAAGTTCTTTGACCCACTGGGCCTGGCCTCTGACCCGGATGAGAAGGAGAGGCTTCAATTAGCTGAGATCAAGCATGCCCGTCTTGCCATGGTAGCCTTCCTCATTTTTGGCATCCAAGCTGCTGTGACAGGGAAGGGCCCTATCAGTTTTGTGGCTACCTTTAACAAATAAACTTTCAAAATAATAACAACCCACTTTCGTCCACAAAAATCGCAACCCAAAGACTAAGAGTGCCCTCCTCACTTCTCTTTTGTATATTCATATAATGTTTAATTAATTGCTGTATTATGTGTATGTGCTGTTTCTGTTGCACCTATATACTCTTGTTGCTTTCATGTCTTAAATAAGGTGTTTATAAATGTATAATGGAGAAAGAAAAAAAAAAAAAAGGAAAAATTATCATGTAACATTATTATTAGTAACTCACACTTCATTTATTAAAAAACAAGGAATAAAAATTTGTAACATGTATTCTTTACACCAGAGTCCAAAATAAGGCTACATCTTATATTTAAAAGAGGGCCCAACAAGTTAATGAGCATTTATTGGGCAGTGGGTTCAAGGACTTACGGATTTTTAGCACTATAAGAGCATTTCCACCCATTTGCCATGGTAAAAGGCAAGGGGAGGTAAGGGTTGATACTATTCACATGAATAGTACTTGTCCTAGCAATTTTTTTGTTGGTTTTCCAGTCTTATGGGGCCCACCTTTTGCCCGAGCTGGATTTGCTTGGTGGGATGTGTTTTGCAACTAAAGTGCTCTTATAATGAGGGGGTAAAATCCAGCAGTCCAATAATAATTATGCACTTAATTGGACGACTATTAACGACCTCCTAGTTATTTCCCCCTAACTATTACCCCCTCATTGTAGCCTCTTAGTACTTATTTTAGGTTCAAGGACTTGTACAATGACAGAGAAGAGTAGGGGTGTACGTCGGTTCGAAACTAATATAATTTAGTCAATCCGCATATGATCTGATATAGATTGGATTATGATTTTTTTTCAATCCGATTCATCATATTAGATGTTTAAATCCAATCTGATATGATCTGATCTAATTGTTATTAGATTGGATGATCGGTTTTGATAATGAAAAAAGACTAATAAAATATTAAACATCTATCCATCTAACCAAACATATTAATAGGCGTAAGTGTAAAATACAAATAAAATAATAGAGAAATTTTTTTTGATTATATAATATATTAAATATAAATTCATTAGATGACTTAAAATAGTCATAATTTTTCAATTACAAATACCTACAGGAGCAAAATAAGCATAAAACTAAATAGATTGGATTTGATTAGATTATCATGAGCAAATCCATCATCTGATCCAATCATGTTGGTTTTGTAAATTACAAATCCAATCCAATTCGCCAAATCATCGAAACTGATTGAAATTAAATTGAATTAGATTGAATCAGTTAATTTGAACGAATTGGATTGAATCTTGTGCACCCTAGAGAAGAGGAAGCTCCCCTTCTATGAAGCTATCACCTAAACTCCAATCATCTGCACAGTGAATTGATTTCTTATTCATAATATAATAAAGCAATTGGTTAAGATTTGACAATCTTTATATAACCATTTCTTTGCAATTTTAGTGGGTGCTAGATGCCTAAAAGTATCTCATCAGCATAAAGTATAAAAATGCCCAATGGGGTCGGCTTGTTAATGTGTGTCACACTCCCACCCACCCTCTCATCTCCTCTCCGATAATAGCATATAAATAACTTGATAAAGGGGTCCAAATTTGGTTTCCACTACCCTTGGAGTTTTGCAAGCCTCACTCAACATATTCGCATCTAATTACCCCTTTTAACTTATTTTCATTTGGAGAAGCTTAAATAAAACTAAACTAACTAGGGATAGCTTTAAAAATATGACTCAAATCTTGGGTAGGTACCAATTTGAATTTCTCTTTGTCAAGTTATGAAGGGCCTTTGGGAGATGGCAACACGTTTCTCTTTTTGAAAAGCTTGATGCGCCATTTCTAAAAGAAAAAAAATGGAAAAGCTTGTTTACCACTCTTTCTTGCAAGAAATTAATGTCAAAAGTTTCTTCACGGACGAGACGAGGATTAAACAAGTTAGCAGATGAGGTTAAACAAGTTGTTCGCTCAGTAAGAAAAGAAAAAAATAACCCATAATAATTAGTGCTGGCGATCATGACAAGGACGAACAGCTTCTATTGCAAGTGTCCACGTGATTGACGCGTTCTTGGTGACCCCTTTTTCTAAGCAGTATCATTCATTTGTCTGTGAAGCATAAGCATTACCTAACCAAAACAATAATGCAGATAATTTCAGTTTTTTATATAACCAAAACATACACGAAATGAAAAAAATGCGTTGATGTAATTCTAAATATGCAGAAAACAGAGGTGACCATTGCAAAACCAACAAAACTATGAATACGAATTTATTTTTTCAACAAAGCAAAAAAAGAAGAGAGGCTATTTTATTGCATAAAGGGCCATAAAAAAAATAAAATAAAATAAAATAAACCGTAGTATACACGTCTTGTCTGGTTGCCACTTCAACATAAAAGTGATATTATTTGTGAAAATGTGATAGCTCAGGTCCACATTTCTTGCAACTACAGACTGCACCAGAAACAATAAGAGGCAAAGGTAAATAAATATTCAAGCAATTCTCTCCGTCTTTCTCTTTTTCCTTTCTTGCATCTGCCTTTTCTTTCTCTGTTGGCTTTGTTTTCCATTTATTCTCGCGCAGTAGATTCATCTCTTTCATATCAATCTTCTTTTGGTTTTTCTTTGATTTTAACGACGACCCTTTATCTGAATCTTCATTTTGTCTTCGAATTTTTGCTGGTTAAGAAAATTTTAGGAGCATAGTGGAGGCATGGGAAGGTTGTTTGTGCAGAGTCTTGAGGGGAAGATCTATAGCTGCAAGCACTGCCGAACCCATCTAGCTCTTTGCGAGGATATAGTTTCCAAGGTTGTTAATTTGATCTCTCTCCAGCTTTGATCAGTCAAAGTTTATTCTTTTCTGTGATATTCTGCTTAAATTTTCATACGGGTATTGATGAATTGTTGCCTGTTTCTGTTTTTTTCCCTTGGAAGATAATATGTATGCTGTTTGATGGTATCCTGGGTCGAAGACTCAAATGTATTAGTTAGTCTGCTTTTGTGATTATGAATTTATGTTCCTTTAGTTACTCTTGGAAGTTGGTTTTGTCTAACTTGAACTGTAAGGCAACATTAATGTGATGAAAAGAGGGTTAATTTGGTGTTTGATAATCATTAGTACAAGATCTCATTAAGTGTGTAGTTGAATCCCTTATTGTTTCTCATGGTTCTTCAATGGTAATTGTTTTTTTTTTTTTTTTGGTGAGCTTGATAGTTAGATTTGTGTTGAATATTCCACATTCACAGTAGCGTATCTGTTAGTTGAAATTTATTGATTAATGAGGTAAGGGATGTTATTAAGGCATTTGGATCCTATAACATAAGGTAGAACTTGTATCCAGGATAAAAATAATGCTGCATTAATTATTTGTCCTGCGGGAATGCAAAAAGGACTTGATGCTAGTTTTTAATGAAGAGGACAGCTAGAACTAAATTGAAGGCTTATCCTCTTTTCAACTGAGAGAGGACATGGTGGCTTATGATATAGCTGTTAGAATTTAGGGTATTTCCCAGCCCTCTCCGAGGGCCATGCTACTGGAAAGAGATTATCCAGTATGCCCAGTTTGGTCACGTCACATGTGAGATAGTGTTTATGGTTGGCTGCTACACTTACTCGAATTCTTTCATCAAGTAGTATGAAATCTACAAAAAAAATCTTATTCATTGCTTTCAAGTGCGTCTTTAATTCCACGGGTGCTTCTCAAACTTACCAAGCACAAATAGATCATGGCCTTCAGTTTTGACATGTTTTCTTTTAGCTTTGAGACTCGTGACACATAGCTTTGGACTTTTTGTGTCCAGCTGACAAAACTAATTTTAGAAGATTTGTCCATGAATGAGTGTATCTGTATTGTCTCAAAGTAATATAATTTAAAATAAGGTAGGGCTCTAAGTAGAGTGAAATGATAGATGGTACTAGTCTGTGCTATCTTTAATTTTTAGATAAGGAGGTAGAAGAAGATGACGGTTAGGATTTACTTTGATAATCATTCAGTATTATTAAGGCTTGTTCTGTTTCTTCTTTTATGTAGTTGCCACTTCTTTTCCCTTTTCATTTGGAGTGTCCAACAAATGTTGATTGGTAGTTTTATTGGAATGGAAGTACATTGTCTGACTACATGTTTTGCCTGTGTTTCATTCAGTCTTTCCACTGCAGGCATGGGAAGGCTTATCTCTTCAGTAAGGTGTAAGTTTTTCTTCATTTTTGGACATCTTTCCCTTGTCTGATGCTGAGACTAGATCCACTGGAGAATACTTTTTGTAAACCAGCAACCCTTACCGAACTCAGCCAATACCACATGGAAGTTACAGATGCTGGAATAGTAAAAGAATATTCTGTTTATGTTTTTACACATGATCAAGACACAAAGCATGTCTGAAGATCATCCTTGAATTTGATTATTAGAAACATTAATTGATTGCATGTGTGCTTTTTTGATTATACAGCACTGGTCAGTTTCGGTTTCACTGAATTTTACAAGAGCTGCCATCAATAGCTTCAAACACTTGGTCTCTTACTCTTATTTTTCATTTTTAGTCTGTCAAATTATGCCTGAACACGGCAGAAAGTCAAATGAAATGATGTGGATATTGCAGTCTGAAATAGGATAATCGTTGATAATCATCATGGGCATTCTCATTTGCAAGCTCACTCAACAAGATTTGTCATTAAGCAGTATGTGATTGCAATGAGTTGCTTTTAGATATGTGATTCGCATCTCCAATCATTTACAGAGTGAATGTAACTTCCGGAGAGAAAGAAGAGAGACAGATGATGACGGGGTTGCACACTGTTGCTGACATTTTTTGTGTTGGATGTGGATCAATAGTGGGGTGGAAATATGTAAGATTATGAGGCATGAATATAATTGTCATTATTTACGTATACTTGTTTTCTGCTGTTATTGGTTTCGATGTTTTCTTTCAGGAGACTGCCCACGAAAAGAGCCAGAAGTACAAGGAAGGAAAATCCGTACTTGAGCGGTCAGTAGTAGAGTCATACGGAGAAACAAAATTTGAATTCCAATCTAATTCAGTTCGGTAAAAATAAGGTTGTGAGTTTCATTCTTGAGCAGGGTTAAGATGGCCGGGCCTGATGGAAGCAATTATTGGGTCAGTCATGAAGCACAAGTCGGAAGCAGTGATGCAGATGATGTTTGATGGTTACCCTTTTTCACATTCAATTGTACATTCTTTGAATCTCAACCTTCTTCTTCTTCTACTCGTGAATTATTAAGCTCTTAATTCCTCATTTCGGCAACTATCTAAACTTGCCTTCAATAACATCTAAATGTAAACATTTGATTGTGTTCAAATTTGATTCGGTTTGCTCTTAATGTAGCCTCTTTTCAAAATAATACATCTGGTTCCAAATTATGTTTGCTCTTAAAAGGTCTGTGTTGTAAAAGGAACTCTTTTTTTAAAATATTTGGTTAACAGTTGTGTGATGGAAGCACTGTTGTTGCAAATTGTAATATTGCCATCATTCGAAACTATTCCCAACAATATGGCGGGAAAAAAAGAAGAAGAAAAAAAGTTGGCTGATGTCACTTTGAAAATCCATCTCCATGTCTCCTCTCCTGCTGCTCAAATAATTACAAAGCATCCACCTTTTTCTTCTTTTTTTTCTTTTTAGTATTTTTCCACTTGCATATCGAAAATTTGTGGAAGGGCAGCTACCAAACCAATAATTCGGTAGCCTATGTAACAAGAGAAATTCATGCAATGGGAATTATATTTTTTGCTATCCTTAGTCAATAACACAAAGACATGTGGGACAACTTTTCCATGTGTCATTGTGTTATTGACCGGAGATAACAAAACAATGATATCCCTATTACAAATTTTTTTCTTTCTGCATAACAGATGGTGACCAAATTAGGTCTATGAAGCCTAAAGCTACAAAACCATCTTAATGGACGTCATTCTTTATCATTTTATGACTTCAACATTTTTCTCAATTTTTTTTTCTCGACTCTCTTATGGTTTCCTGTGCATCTCATTCAAGTGGGCAAGCCTGTAAAAAGCTTTTTCTCCTTTTACTGTCCCTTTTGTTTTATACACTGGTGAAAGTAAAAAATGGGTAAACTAATCTCAGAAACGAATCACATTATGCGATGACTGCTCTGAAGGGCAAAGCAAGCAAGCTTTGTATTTTACGCAACTCGGACAAATTTACAAAGCATAATGGATGTCTTAAATAGAGGAAAGCTATCATGTACCAGGAAACACGTGTGATGCTGCGTCTAGATTTTGAATCTGCAAATCCCATTCGTTTCAATAGAGAAATGATGCAAATTGATAACTTGACATCAAGAAAAACATACAAACAGATGAATCTGGGGCAGGAGTCTGTATTGACTATCGAACATAAGCCACGGAACAGCAAACAAGTGTCCAACTCAAAATATGGGGGAACTCGAGATTGGCCTTCGCTTCTAGCCCCGGCTAAAATGACCAGACATTGAGTCGAGCATAAGAGTTGGCTCCAACTACAATATATAATGTTTCATATGTGATGAAATCTAATGAAGGCTCGTAAGAACAACCAAATCACTCAAGTGAATAAACCATTCGCTCAGCCAGGGCTTCACCTACAACTCTCATATATCTACGCAGCTGGAACTCCAAGTAACTCCTTTCCGATGGGCGAAAAGCAAACTTTAGATCCTTCAACAGAAACACAGTGGTGTAACTATGAAGACAAGAAAGGGATTGGATTTGGGTGGGAAGCTTAAGTAGTTTTAAATCAGGTATCTGAAAATTTCAGACATGCTCAATGAACACCATAAAAAAATTGAGTACACATACCTTGAATTTCACACGAGATCCCTTCAACCCGATTAAAATGTTACCGACATCTCCATCTTCTACATCAACAGATGCCAGATGTTGTTCGTTGTCTGAGCTTCCATATTCAGGCTCCATCATCCCTTCATCGTCATACATAAGAAAATCATTAGTGTCTTCTTTCCCAATGTCATCATGTTGCATTTCCATGACATCTTCAGAAACATGAGGCGGCAAGGACTCTCTATCTTGTAACGTGGAAAAATCCGATAGAACAACATACGGCTTTCTATCAAGCAAAGGCTTAGCAATGGCAAAAGGAACCCACCTGAAGTCAAACTTTCAGTTTGTTAGCCACCAAAAACTTGGAATTTCGGGACACTAGCAAATTTTCTTGATTAATATGAAAAGAAAAGCTTCAATTGGACATGTATATGAAGTAGATAATGATCTCATATGAAAACTTCAGCTTGCATGTTTCTTTATCAAGAGAGCATCCCTCACATGCTGAAGATCCAGGAGCTTGAGAGTCCAGAGCATGTTAGGAGTAACTCACGGTTCTGTTTTCTTAAGTTTCCCAGATTGCTTGATTACATGTTCCCAAGTGACTAGGGTGTAGTCAACCTAATCACCACTCAGAAACAGATTAGATTACTGGCCTTTTACTTTAACCTAATTCTCCCATTTCCCAGTGTGCTTGTGTAACCACCTCAACTAGATAATTTGTAATCTCAACCTGGATGCCCTCCACAAAAATGATTTAACTATGGTAGGCAAAATGTACAGTTCAAAGCAGGCATATCAACCACAAATGTACAAATGAAAATTTTCAACCTTACTTGTTTTCAACCTAATTAGTAAAGTGAAACTGTTAACAGCTTTCCATGGTCAGCTGGTATATGCAAAGGGGAACTTACTGGTAACGTAGAGGGCAGAGTAGCTCAGATGGGGAATATGCTGCTTTGTATCTCATCTTACTGCAAGAGTGAATGTAATAACCGAGATAATAATACTGAAGAGTGGAGCAATGTGCTTGATTCTCTTTCACCCAATTTATTTCTTGCAGTGCTGAATACTTCCCAGGTGATAGGAAGGCAAAATCTGGGTCCCAGAATAAATATTTACTTGACAAACATCTAGGGAGGATATCTATAACACCGACTGCAACAAGCTTTCCATCAATCACATATTGCTGATGGAAAGAGCCAAAGCCACAAGGTGGAACTGTACCATCACCAGTTGGAGGAACAAATATTAAGGGAGTATCAACCAAGAACCTCCTATATGAGCTTTCCGTAACATGATCGGGGGTATCATTATGAACCATCATTTGATACCGTCTATACAAGGCATACTCTTCTGAATCAAAACTGGACCTTTTCAAATGAATCTCGAGCCTCCGCCTCTTTACCTGAGTATTTTCAGAGCTATTTTTCAAACTGCATCCTTTACTTACAGAACTGGCAGCAGATCCTTTAGAGACACTAACAGTTTGAGAACTTTCATATGCGGAAGCATGTTTTGCGGCTGAATAAAAATTTAAGTGTCCATTGCAAGCCCTGACTGACAGACCAGAAGTTTTTGCCAACTGATTCAAGAAACTTTCTAGCTTTTCAGCAATAAGTTTTGGAGAAGGCCCATTTTCATCTGTAATATTCCTTGAAAATCTTCCCTGGTTGCCGTCCTTCTGATCTGGTAGAGACCGCTTTATAGTAGCCGCTATTTGGAATGCAATATTGGTCGAGTATAAGAGATCTTCTGATCCTTCGACCAAAATCTTTCTTTTGGCTTGTGAAACCTTTTTAACGGAAGCCTTTGGAAATTGAATGTCAGGAAATTCTCCACTTTCAGAGCAAGCATGAACTACGCTACCAACTTGATCTGATAAGAATCGCACAATGTTTTCTTCCCCATCCTTCTCTTCATTGTTATTGGAAGAGGATTCTTTCACAGCTAAGCTTGAAACTCCAAGATGGGTACGGCTGCACGTGTCCCTAGAAGCATTTGGATCCTCTACAGTCTCCACTGGTCTTTTACAATCCAAGGTACCTTCTAAAAATCTAGGATAAAATATATAAACCAGAATAAACATACGTTTTTCTAGAAGTTTAAAGACATGGAGAAGGTGGAGTGTAATAAAAGGCGACATAACAATACCTTTGCATTCGCCTAGACACCCGAAGTTGCTCTTTAGAAGGAACAAAATCACCGGCCTTCAGACGAATAGTATAAGCAGGGCAGCATGTTTTTTCCATCTCAGGTTTGTAAAGGAAACAACCAGATCTTCTCCAACCCCGGTCAAGAAGGTCTAGCAAGAGACACATAAAATATAAACAAAAAAAATTCAAGGTACGACTGTAATCACTAAAATGATGACATTTTGATCAAGAGAGGTTCTTCATCATGGTTACCAATACAATAACAATAGTATTGTTCACAAAATATAACGAGAATCCAAGAGAAAACCAACCTTGGTAGTCATTGATCGTAATGCTCTGTGTCCCCAATCCTGTTTAACCAACGACACATTAAAAATGTATCAGAAATATCAAATGCACGTAAAAAGGAGCAAAAGAACTTAAACACAGGCGATGACTAATCACATAAAAGACATATGAATGTTTGTGCTAAAAAGTCTGCCAAATTCGCATTGCTTTTAGAAATCTCATAACTTGTTAGCAGATAGGAACAAGCACGACGATTTCACATTTCAAATTAAACCATATAATTAAATTCCTAAACCTGTTCAAATTTTAGCAAGATCAACCAAATTATGAAGTTAGAGGCGAAAACTTGATCAAGCACAGATAAAGAGAAAGGGTTGATTAGAATCAGAAAGACGGACCATGAGAGATACTGGAGCGAGCAGACGATTTGCAATAGCCGCAAGAGCTTTTGTTTTTACCATAATCGACCACCACGCTTTCCCCTCTGTGGTTACTGCTACGGCTGCTGTTTCTGCTGCTGCTACTGCTTGCCTCGCTCTTCTTCGTCTTCCCCGCCATTCCCGATTTGATTCTCTCAGCTCAGCTCAGTTCTGCTTTTGCATCGGAGACTCTGGACCGCGTCTTGCCTTCCGAACGACGTCGTGGTGCGCGGTACCAACCGTGCGACCCTCTCCTTCTGATCTCGGCGGCCGATTTTCAATTCAACTTAAATTGTTTATTCATTTGTATATCTGACTAGATTTTTATATAGTATTTAAAATATTTTATTTTCTGCGGTCAAATGAAGGAACAGAGACTCGGGAACTTGCTGGTGAATTTAAGTACAATTACTCATCTTCTTTCAGCACGTTATTCTCTTTACTTTTTTTCATTTTCTTTCCCCTCCCAAAAAGAAATCCACGGGCGACCAAAAACAAAAGGAAATCAATCAATGAGCGGCCGAAAAAAAAACCTAAAGGGCGTATCAAACCATCCAAACCGTAATGCGTGACTTGATACTCACTTACATGTAATGGGAATACAAAGAAATGAAATATAATAAACAAGAAATAAGAATCGCATCAACTACTCCTCTTAATTGATTCGATCTTTGATTAAAG